GCTGATACCCGCATATCACTGCTCCAATCCTGGTGCTCTTAAACAGGCAAATGCATGCGGTTTTCCAAAATACAGTCGTTAACAATGCCTAAGAACATTGGTTCATTTATTCCGAGCAACTTCCACACTCACTTTGAAAGCTCCATAGAGTGGGCTACTCCTGAGCATCGAGTTCAGGTATTTGAAGTTGTTGAAAGCTGCAAGCCACGGCGCCAGTGAAACTTCTTCACGTAAATACCTCGTGATGTTCAGAGGAACGTGGTAAGGCACGAGCCCTGCACGTTGTGATAAACATTATGTGGAGATTTGAGAAACGTACCAAAGCAAAAAATTTACTTATAAACAATAACTAATCATTGAATCCATTCCCGAATCATTGATAAGACTGCAGACAGAACTGTGGCTAATAATCGTGCAATGAATAGATCGATCAAAATGAAAATTTCAGAAGACAGGAAATACACAAAAATAATAAATAAAATAATCACGGGAATCATTAAGTTAAGTTTTGACCTGATTTTATATTAAGAAGGTTTTATGCAGGAATAATTGCATAAAATGCAGGAATAACTGCATAAAATGCACTAAAAAGCAGGTTTTTTGCAGTTTTATGCAGGAATAACTGCATAAAATGCAGAAATATGCAGTTTTTGCAGTTTTATGCAGGAATAACTGCATAAAAAATACCAGCTCGGGCCAGGTTGAAGGAGTCGTCGATTAGCTGGGCTCGGTGGACGTCAGGCAGCACCATGTGGTCCGTCAGCAGCTGGATAAGCAGTAAGTGCCAGTTGCCCAGGTCGTAGTTCACGCGGAAATATCCTAAAACAAGATACAAAAATTGTTTACGATTCTTGAAATTCTGTAAAATTAAAATTAAATTCTGTAGGAAATTAACCCTAGGCACGATATCGTAACCACTCTTTCCTCGTTGTGTAGTTCGGGATTCGGCTCATCGCTCAAATTCTAAAACCTTAGTGAACTATGATACTCAGACATGAAATTGCCATAAGGCTCTCAATATACTGTAAGGTACAATAACTTACCCGTTTGCTGTAAGTTGAACAAAACCCATTTGTCAAGAGGCGGTAGTCCGGTTACCGGCAGCTGGTCGTCCTGAACGGAAATAAATCGTGGATATTGAAAACGCAGAATATGTCGAGAAATAATTCCATATAAATATAAAGGTAATTTTAGAGAAAAAGTGCATTCGCCCAATGAATGTGCATTGTAGTGGAAATTTGGAATTGTTAACTAATAGAGCAACGGCAAAAACTAACAATTAACGATTGGTGATCTATAATGAGGAATTGAAATACAGCGTTTTGGGCCGGAGATGAGTTCAACTTTGAATTAGTGGCGAGCAAAATTTGGCCATCACTATGAAAATTGTCATGGAATTGAAATAAATCGGAAACATAAGATTGTAGTACTCAAGAATGCTCAAATGAGAAAATTTTTAGAATGAAGAAGTAATAAATAAATAAATAAATAAAAACTATTGCAACATATTAGCAGAAATCAATTGAAAAAATAATTATTAAATGTGTGGAATGAACATAGGAAATATCGCAAGTGTGAGCAAAAAATTAATAAAGATTATAATGAGTCCAGTTGAAATTGGATATTGAATTACTGTAAAGACAAGGTTATAACAAGTAATAGTAAATAAAATTCATGAGTGTTAGGTTATAAAACTACTATAAATACTTCAAAATATCACCTGTCTAACAATATGTTTTGTGCTCTAAAACTAGCTAACGGCTGCGGTTAGGATCCATGACAAATGCCTAATCGAATAAGATTGAGACACAACTTCAAGGCGGGCATAAATGAAAATACCTGAGGTCTGAGCCACGTACGTGGCTGTGTGTGCTCAAAATAAGGATATCGCTGGTCGGTGAAAGTCACCGGAATCCACCACCTCTGGACATCGACGTCAGAAGTGTTGCTCATGCCGAAGTGGAAACGTCTCTGTACAGATGCGAGTTCAAATTAAAAATTACTTATGACTGCTTATGATTTTAATTTGAAACTGGGAATGAAAGAATCTACTACGGGGAATGAAAGAATCTACGAAAATGTTCTTAAATCACTCCTAAGAACGAGTTCTGTTGCATTTGTATTCGATGAGAGTGCAGTTTTGGAATCAACCTCCAAAAGACTCGTGCATACCTGTTTCAAAGTTGCAGTGCTGTTATCAGGTCTATTGACAAACAGGACGGGATACCCGGCTTGTAAGGTCCAGGCATCTAATATCATATTCAGAGATATTCCACCGAAGAGCACGCCATCGTTCTCTGCAGCTTCGTTCATTGTTCCAAAAAAATTCTCCTGAGAAGCAGAGCTGAATTTGCTGCAAAATCAAGAAATTAAATATAATTATTCCACGTACGCAGCAGAATTCTACTAGACGACAATATACTGGGATGGACCTCATCACTTTCTATGGGTAAAATTTTTCATTTTTTCAGAAGTATATAAAACAGAGACTCACAATTTGTTTAGGTAGTTTTTCACGCCAGCCATGAAAGTATCTTCCGTCAAGAAATGCTGCATCATTCTGATGATAGACGCACCTGCGAGATAAATAATTATCTTCTACCAGCCATGGAATTCCCATCGAACCCTTCGAGTCAATACAACTCTTCATCGTTTTCACCGGTGATTGCAGCATCTTCGAAACCCTTTTAAATCCAATTCTAATTCGATTTAATTGAAATGTGTGCACATAGCAATCTGCGATAGAAATCTGGCTCATTATTACTCATACATTGGCAGCACAAATACGGTACGGATGTGATGTACTCACAAGAAATTTTTTGATTATGAATGCGATAACTTTGTGTTAATCGATGCGGTGCTTTGTGTATGTTAAAAATTCTGAATATCCCCAAATCATGCTGAACTAATTTAAAAAATAACGCATAACGTGATCATACTTGTCCCCAATTTTTACAACACTTCTCTTTAACTTCACTTCTTGTTGTTTGTTTGTCTGTCTGTCTGCTACAAATCTTATAATCGATATTTGACAACCTTCTACCTGGCCAATAGTTCTGAAATTTTGCACACTTGCGTAAAGTTGAAGACAATGCATGAATCAATTGACAGAATAAATAATTTTATAAATAAAAAAAATTGTTTCATTATTAAAAAAATTAAAGAAATATGCGTTTAAAAATTACATTTTAAAGACAACACTTCTGAAGAATCCGGTGTCTTGGATGTTACACATGTACAATGAATTTTTAATTTTATTTTCATATATTAAAAAATATATTTTTCAAAAATTTTTTATGATATCAAAATTTTGTAAATTTTCAAAATTATTTATTCTGTCAACTGATTCATGGCTGCATGAATCAGTTGACAGAATCAGTCTCTGACTTTATGCAATTGTGCAAAATTTCAGATCAATTGGACAGGTCAAATTGTGACATATATGGATTATAAGACTTGTGGCAGACGAAATTATTTTAATTTTTTTTTTTCAATACTGAAAAAAAAATTTAATTTATAAAATTATTTATTCTGTCAATTGATTCATGCATTGTCTCCAACTTTACGCAAGTGTGCAAAATTTCAGATCGATTGTGAATCGATTGTGATCGATTCTGAAGTATGTCAAATATCGATAATAAGATTTGTAGCTGACAAAATTATTTTTATTTTTTTAATATTGATTTTTTAAATAATTTATTCTGTCAATTTATTCATGCATTGTCTCCAACTTTCTGCAAGTGTGTCTTACGATTATTAGATTTTGTAGCAGAGAGACAGACAGACAGACAAGCAAACAACAAGAAGTGAAGTTAAAGAGAAGTGTTGTAAAAACAGTCACCCTTTCAAAAATAAAAGCAATTTTCAGATTTTTTCCAGACCAGTGTAATCAAAGTTAAACTTGTAAGAAAAGCAGACTGGGTTCCAGTTTTTTCCGGTGCATTTTTGCGGTCGTTCCTGAGTGACGGATAAATGATCATTATACGTGTACGTTTGTATGTGGCGAATAGTTGATTGCTTGGCGGATAGTAGACGAATAATTGATCGATTGCGGCCAATAATTGATCGGAGGCGAATGATTGATCGTATGTATATGGCGAATAACTAATCATGTGCACGTGGCGAATAAGTGATCACTCGCACGTGGCGAATAAGTGATCACATGCGTATGGCGAATAATTAATCGTGTGCATGTGGCGAATATGTGATCGCACACGGGTGGCGAAGAAGTGATCACTCGCACGCGGCGAATAAGTGATCATATGTGTATGGCGAATAATTAATCGTGTGTATGTGGCGAATAAGTGATCTGTTGCATGTGGCGAACATTGATCGGTCGCATGTGGCGACCGATCGTTTTCTTGTGACGAAAAAATGACCTGTACGATTGATATAGCCTTGGACTATGTATGTCGTGTATGTGAGGCCCCGCTAATTTTGTTTATATATAAATCTAATTGCGGTGGGCGACGTCTGAGTTGCCCATCCTTTGGTGCGGAATTAAGATTCGAAGTCACCATCAAAATGAGGGCACCATCACATGAGGGCAAAAAGTGCTCTTTTCTTTACACGAATTTAGAACACATTTTAAAAATCAGTATAGCATATCCAATCATTTTAATCAACGTGGAAACTGTTTAGCCCTCTTTTCGATCAATATGTAGGTAATGCATGTAGATGAAAATTTATTCTAAGTTTTATCTATCCGAAAATCAGTCTAGGGCCTTCTACAAAAAAAAATCCGATCTGAGAATTAGACTTCCCTCAGTCGGACTCACAGAGCATAAATTATTGTTAGAAGAAATGCAGTAATGAAGATTTGACCAATGCATTTATACTCGTTCGATGCTTTATGAAAATTTGTGACAGATTCTGCATAAATTCTAAAATTCCAAATTGTCATAGTTATAGTTAATAACTATGACAAGAGGATCAACAATGATTGAACAGTAACCGATGACGTGAGCTCTAGGTAGAAGAGCAGCAATTAAAGTGCTACTTTCGAAGTACTACTTCAAGATCCCGAATAAATTTATCGAACTAAAACTCTAAACGCGTGCTGCGTCTAAGCTTTACCAGGATTTCTAAGTAGAAGCCGAGCCAACTGCAACAACCAAACATGATTGAGGCTGCATCTTTCCATCACAGAAGACCCGGTGCGGTACTCAATAGTAGTTCTATCGTCCCCTTAGATAATATAATTATTTGAAATGATACATGAACGTGCGTTGATGTACAATGGCAAGTGTGGATCCTAGGCCATCAAAGTTCGTTGATGCATAATTGCAAAACAAACAGTTTCTGTATTCTTCAGAGTTCATCTTATTAACAAATAATCTATATACTCGATGAATCGATACTGAACTTTTTATCACCGCGACATTGACAAATATACACGGCAAACTGGTTAAACGTTGTTAAGGCGCCAGCAAACTTCATTTCTTTTATAAATGTTACGAACTTGTTCAGTCGGAACTAATTGATGACAGATGCTGTGTTTTGGTGAGGGCTTTCAAAATAATTGGCTCCTGGCCGTGGAAAATTTAAACCGATTTGCGGTAGCTATACGAAACACATAACGGTATACTTTAGTGTCGGAAACTGGCGATCATTTTCTGGAAATAACAACAGGTTTGCCTCAAATGTCAATTTTTTTCAATTGAAAAGATGTGATTAAGTCGACGTAAAAACATTAGAAAAATTCAATTTTCACCAGAAAATACGTCAGTTAAGCTTATGTTGATTGATTCACAACTGAAAATGGACGCGATCACGTTCAATGCCGGTTTTTATTACAACACTTCTCTTTAACTTCACTTATTGTCTGTCTGTCTGTCTGCTGCAAATCTTATAATCGGTTTTTAACACACTCCTACCTGTCCAATCGATCTGAAATTTGGCACACTTGCATAAAGTTGAAGATAATGCATGACTCAATTGACAGAATAAATGATTTTGAAAATGTAAAAATTTCATTATTAAAAAAATTTGAAAATAATTTCGTCTGCTACAAATCTTATAATCCATATATGACACAATTTGACCTGTCCAATCGATTTGAAATTTTGCACTATTGCATAAAGTCAGAGACACTGACAAAATAAATAATTTTGAAAATTTACAAAATCTTGATATCATAATTAAAAAAAAAGTTTAATAATTTTTTTTAATATTTAAAAATAAAATTAGAAATTCATTGTACATGTGTAACATCCGAGACACAGGATTCTTCAGAAGTGTTGTCTTTTGGATCTTCAGAAGTGTTCAGAACCACTTATGCGCACATCATTTATTCACTTCGTTCAGAAATTAATAGACATTGATATTTTTCAATTACCTTTACTATATGGAATGGCGTCGAAGACTTCATTTATGTCGTTGGGGTCAGCAACATGGGTGCGGACAGGGTGGGAGGCGAGTGAACTGTCATCCACCATAACGCTGCGTAGTCTTGATGCGCAAAAATAATCCATCGATTTCCACGCTGGAAAAAGCTGTAACGAAATAACACCTGAGCCAATAAATTTTTGGCCTGATACCGACTGATTTCGGTTTAGCTTTCAAATGGACTCAGTTGCTTCATGATTTACTGAAAACTATAAAAATGCAAAGAATAAATTGAAAACGTGAAAAATAAATTAATGGTGTAAACTCGTATTGTACCACTACTAATTATACATTTAGACTGTACACAAGAAGAATCAGTAATAGCTAAAATTGTGCAAGTCGGAAACGCCATGTTGATAGCATAGAAGTTAAAATACAAATGAAAAAGTAAATTATAAGTTTTGGGAAATTATTTGGGAAATGAGTCATTTTGAAAGCAAGACACTAATTTCCCCAAAAAAACTCACCTCTTGAATAGCCACAGCCGCCATGTATGTGGCGAAGCCCTCGCTCAGCCACAGGTCGGTCCACCACTCAAATGTAACGAGGTTGCCGAACCATTGATGGGCCATCTCGTGTACCACCAACTCAGTGGACAGCAGTAGACCGCTTGCTGTCGAATCTTCAGACGAGTACGATAGCGAACTTTCCCTGTCAATAAATACAACCTGTTAAAGAACATAATATTTGTCGCAGGTTCTTTTATTTAAAGTGTTTCTAGCATTATATCAGGATTGATCAATATGATTCTACAAAAATCCACAATTGTGTGAAATTTTTTGACCATAAAATATCGAACAAATTCTCAATAGAGTACGAGTAAATTTACTTTGGCTACCATAAGTCCCTTCCCTGTAAATAGATTGATTATTCATGGACACGAAACTAAAAAAAAAATACCTGAAAGTAACAAGGCCCCAATTTTCCATTCCGTGGTGAGCCGTTAGAGGCAGTCCCACCATGTCTATTTTGGGTACAGCGAGACTCGAATTCAAGTACTGCTCGAAAAAATTGATGCTTCGATCCCCCACAGAAATAGCGTGCGATGAGCGCTCCAGGATATCATCCCGAGCAAATACTGCACGATTAAGAAACTAATGATTTCAGTAATTGTCGGGTCGACCCGATTTACAAAGTTCTTGAAAATGAGGCTGCTAGAATTAAATGAATTTCTATTTGCGTCTATGTCCAGGAAGTCTATTTGCGTCTATGTTCTATTTACGTCTATGTCACCTTACCTCGAACTCGAGCCTTATTCTCAATAGTAATATTTGAAAATTCGGAAATAACGAATGCCAGCAAATAAGTTGACATCTTTTCCGTGCGCTCGAACTTGTCGAAGAACCAGCCTGGTTGATTTGGTCTGTGAGACACAAATAATTATAAACAATCAGATGCCAAGATAGACAAATTTAGCAAAATAGGTATTAAATGGTATTAAGTACATATATACATAAACCAGATACAAAATAGTACTACGTCGTGATAATTGAGCTGCGAGAACATCATAGATTCTCTTAAAACGCTTTAATTCTAACGTGGATTCTATAATTATATAATTTTATGATATGCATTCAATCTTCAAGAGAATTTATTAAGGCACGCATTATCCATAAAAATTCAAGTCAGTTTGTAAACGAGGCAATACAAATATGAAGTATCAGTAAATTCATCTCACATGGGGCTGGTCTCCCTGATAGGAGTGTTTGCGATGGCAGTCATGTGCTGCTGGCGCCCCAAAGTGATGTCGAATGTCGCTTTCAGAGAAGGCTCGTCAAAGCATGGGAAAGCGCGTCTTGCATTCGCCGTCCAAAATTGCGTGGCAGCCACAAATCTTTGGAATTCAGGTGCCATTTTAATAATTACAATGAGAAGCATACGCAGCGATAAAGTGTCCAGATAATTCGAAGCGTCCGAATCATTTTTGAATCGGTTGTAAATGAATAGATGCAAGGAATAAACATAACATGATTGATTTATCATGAACGGACGAATTTATTTCATAGATAAAACGTATCCATCGTCACTTATTGAGGCTCTTTATCTAAGCCACATTAACGCTAAATCAAGAGTCGTTAAGATTCCCTGCACATCATCTAAGTGATTATTTTTCCCGTGCTAGAAAAAAAAAACTGTTTGAAGCGTGAAATTTTCCATAGGTGAAATATTTCAATACTACTTCATGCATTTATAATATTAAACTGAAAAATGCCGCTTTCTCCTTTGAGAGCATAGGATTCGAAACCCTAACAAAATTTAGAGTCGCCCCAGCTTCTGGTAATCTGTCTCAGAAGCTGCCGCGTCCGTAAATTTTTACTGGGAAGCTCTCACCTTTGTCGGTCATCGAGCATCCAATATGCCGTGGAGTAGAAGCCCTTGGGCTCGTGATAGAGCTTGGAGGTGAACGCAATTCTCAGGGTGTAGTTAGCGTTTGGCTGCAGCTTCCCCCGTACCTTAATAATTGTCATGCCTGTCTTCCTATCCTTTTTGGACGCACGTATGGCCACGCGCTCCGACAGGTCGTTGGAGACTAACTGGCGCAATCCATAAAGTATAATTATTCATACAGCATTCGGAAGTTGTGAATTTCTTCTAAACAATTGATATATTACCTACCGAATAATTTTGTGTTTAAATCTGCAGAAAAACTATCAGAATCAAGTACAACAGTATAACGGTTTTCTACAACAGAATTTTTTTCTACATTATTATTTGTTCCACTGAGAAAATTACAACCTAGAACAATAAAAGCTGTATAAACTTATGCAAGTTTCGTAAGAAACAATTTGATGTCCATAACCTCTGCACCAACTATTCTAATCAGGTTATGATAACAAAAATGCGGAAAAAGAAGGCTGCTCACTTTAATGCCTCTGGGTTTGATGGTAATTCGTTGCAGGTGAATTCGTATGCTCGAGGTGTTCCTCAAAACCGACAGTTGAATAGAGACAAGTCCATCGATTGTATCGTTGATACCGAGGAAGGGTTGAAGCCTCAAGTCGTAGTGGGTTGGTATGATGGTGTCCGGTAGCCGCAATCGGCTCCGGGTGTGGTTTGATGAAAACGTCACAGAGCCACTCACCAACGTCTTGAATGAAAAAAATATAACTCAGAAGTCACTGCAGCGAGTGACAGAAAGCGCATTTTCTCGTCCGTCCGTAACGTGAAGTCACGGACGGACATGACGAGCACAATAGCGCCTTTTTTCCATAAATGAGAAAATGCGCTAAAAAGTAATTTTATAGGCATTCTGTGGAGATCACAACTTGGTGTAAACTTACAAGCATGGCTTTTTGCACACATAGATTTACAGAACCACAGAGAAGTTACTGGTAATTTTTTTCATTATAAAGCAGGATAATCTTGAATACTCGCTCGACTCAAAAATCTCGTTATGAACTTTTAAGGTCGATGGAAAATAAAATTAAGTAATATTCGTTTGAAAATGAGGTTTACACGTATTCAACCCCTAACTTTTGCGAAAAGAGTAAGCCAGAATTGCAGCAGAAAGGACAGGAGTTGTATCGATCCCCAAATGATATCGAGCTGAATATTCAGCGATTTACTGCTTCACAATTATGAAAAATATAATATAAATGATTATTGAAATCATTTATTAATAACCGCTGAAGCAACCTAATATTGGACTCTCGATACATTTTTTACCCGCCAAAGTGCCTAGAGAAAATAACTCGTGAAATACAAATCAAAATTGGCAATGCGGTACGAAACATGTAACATTGCGTACCAAATACATGCATCACATTAAATCTGATCATCACTTTGCTTGTGTTGCAGGCATCCGGTAGCGATTAGATTGAATTGCATTAAAACATTCTCATTTTCATCATTTTGTAAAGAGTCGAAATTTTTTTCTACCAATCTAAAATCTTTCTTAAGTGTTGATTGTTACATCTCCAAAAGCCCTCTCAGTTTCAAACGAGCTCCTTTCCTTCGAAACTAGAGAGAAAAGGACAGCAGAGTGATGAAGGATTTTGAAAGGTAGCTTCATCATGAAAATATCACCGACATGTGGATGCGTGGAACAACCTCCCTAACAGCATCGTTGACGCAANGAGAGATCGGGTTCAGAAGGCCGAATCCCTTGTGGAATCGAGTCACGAAAAGTACAAGAATCAGCAACAGGCCAGGGGCATATTTCTTCAGTGCCGACAATTCTATTCAATTCTAAGAGTATAAGGTAACAGGTGAGTTTAAATTAATCTAGTTTAGTCATAGCACGATCTATTCCAAGTTTCTTTATAGAATTTCATCTCATTACGGGGGCCAATAGGCACTTCGAATAAAACAATCGTTACATGTGCAAGGGATAGATAGCATTTCCCTGTCTCACTGAGAATTGTGTATAGTGATAGGAGCTAGACGATGTAAAAATTAACTTCAACTAGAAACTTACCAACACCAGTAGTGTAGATACCGTCAGAGCGCTGTGCAAAGTACTTGGATAATTTCTTAAAAATCTAACCATCTTGCCAGGAGCACCAACGCTCAAACGCCGTCTTAAATTCCAAAAAAAAACAAGTCCATGCAGAGAAGCTTTTCAAAAAACTTGGTGATTTGTACCCATTTTCACTCATTCAACACTGGTTTATTCACTTTACGAAACACTCGTTTAACCGTTTTATTGTAAAATTGTTAAATGCTTGAAGTTTGCATGAAAAAAATGGCAACATGAACGATGCGCACACCGTTCATTGTCAGCGACGGCAGCCGTACTAACTCCGTTCTTCCGTTCTTTATTGGCCTCAATTGCGTGAGGCGGGCAAATGGCATGAGGGCAGGAGGCGGTTCCCACTTGCTTTCGTCTGTGATGAAAGCACGAAAAGATTGAATTTTTAAATTTCTTCAGTCGACGGTGTGACCACAATCAGAATCAAAATACTGCAAGTGCCGCAACTTGATCATGCAATCAATCTACCTGAAAGTAGCGCATCAGCATCATTGTTATAACATGAAATGTACGTTATTACTACAACTCACCTCATTCCAAAAAGAAAAAAAATTAAATTCCAGTGGAAAGTGGAATAACGGATATAAGTTGAGAATTTATGTATCCACGTTTTGTTGCTGCTTGCCTATGCGCAACCAGCCTCACATGTGGAAAAAAGTTTAAAAACTCCCGGTTACGGCTGCGCAGCACGATTACAGACTTGGGACTTGCTTACCAAATAATTTGAATTTGATCCCGGGCAACTCCACGAAAAAAAAATTAAGATCAGTACTCACGGAAGTGAGTGACAGAGAGCGCATTTTCTCGTCGACGAAAACGTGAAGTCTCGGACGGACGGACGGACACGACGAGAACAATAGCGCTTTTTTCCATAAATGAGAAAATGCGCTAAAAAAAGTTCTAAAAAATTACCACCGTAGTGATTGTAGCCAGATCAATGCAGAACAGCCTAATTTTCTAGTTAAACTCATACTTTTTCGTATCCGTGAGAAAAAATTGAGCTCCAATAGCTACTTGCAAGATTTGGAGGCGTCGTGACTTAAATTAACCTGTCCAACTGACAAATAATTACTGCTTTATTTTTATAATAATAAATATCCAGCCTAACAGAAAACACGTAAGTTTTGTCAAGCTCATTTCGTTTTAATAGGCAAACCAGATAATACGGTTGGAAACACGTAGTGTAAAATTTAAAGACTTTGTTATCATTTGAGCTAGCTAGGCTTTGTCTACTAAAGTGTAATTGTTGTAAAAAAATTTTTACTGAATAAACAAATATTTTAATGCTGCCACAAGCTCAATTCAGTTAATCGAGCTTGGCCTAGCGGCGTTCGGGGTAACCCTTTTTAAGCCCATATTTAAACTACAACCAAAATAGCGATTTTAGTAGGAGCTAATATGGCCGGATTTCAAGTTGAATATACATGGAAATTTGATGAAAAAGTACATCACCGAACTCAGTTGCTCCTGACCTCATCCTACACACAGGGTGGAAATTTAAGCTGCCTCCGTTTGCCGACCGCAACTACCGTTACCTGCACGTTAAACCAAAACGTTTAGTTATTACTTAATACTTGCAATATTCTTCAGGCAAGAGGTGAATCAAGCAGGAGTTTCGCCGGAGATCAATAAGGTTCACAACTTGGAGAATGGTAAATTAATTAAGGTTGACATGAAAAGTTTCGCTTCTTGACCTAATTCGAAATGAAAATTCTGAGTAAAAAACGATTCCCAAATAAATAGAAGGCATTAAAATAAAGTTTCAGAGCTACAACGTAATGCAATAGGAACCCTTTTTCGCTTGGCAAATATCTTAGTGTGATTATACGTCGAATATTTATTCATAGTCGGAAGGTTCAAGACATTTTTTAGATTAAATTTGTATTATCAAGATGTTTGACGATGTTTATGAGGTTATCCATGTTGTGGTCTTAGGGAATCCTATGTATTTACATCACGAGTTCTACGTAAATGAACTCAATTTTACTGAATCTCACAAGCTAGAACTTCGAGACATACAAATGTTATTATGAAATAAGCGTCATAATGTATCGACTTACGTAATACGGTTTAAACACATCGATTTTCTAACGAAGTTACATTTCGTGGCAAAAATACATACTTCAGACTACCTCTACAAGAATCATATCAACTGTCTACATGTACAGACAGTACAGTGAATACACAACTTACTTTCAAGCAGCAGAGAAAAAATGACAGCTCTAGATAATGTTAGGTCATTTCATCATCAGTTAACAATATCAAAAATTTCAACTTCGATTTGCGAAGACAAGCCGATTCCAGAGATGGATGAAGGGATTTTCATCTGATGGTCTTACTTAGACTAACATCCTCATTTATAAATTTAAACTTTTATTGAAAATTTTGATCAACATCCTAGGTCATACTATTAAAGTACATCATTGATGAATACACATCAACCATATAGTTAAAGACTATATCTTCTTAAAGGAAATGAATGGCATGCATTGCTTCGTACAGTTCAGAATATCATTTACAAAGAACCCTTCTTTTGAGTGCATGTTTTGATAGCAGTCGATTGTCAGATCATGTACAATACAAAGACAAATTTGGCACCGAAATTTGATTAATCTCGCAAAATAGGAATATTAATCAATGATTGGACTGGAATCAAATGATAGGAATTAAACTAAGAATATTACTCAAATGATTAGACTGGATTTGAATTCATATTCACAACGAGAAGAGGTTCAGCATAATATTCCCCCTTGTCTTGTCTTAACATAAAATAAATTGGAGACAATTTCTTCAAATTGTTGCTTTGAATTTTTCTTCAACTTTGAAGCTTTGCGTAACTCTCAACATCTACGAAATTTTATCTTCATTATTGTAAAACTGCATCTAGTTTAATATATTATCATTGCTTGATAATATAACTATGAATTTCCTACATCATTAGTTAAACTAAAGCATCAAGGAAACAGTCACGTTCATTCTATCATATTTATCAGACGGCACATTAAACTCGAAACCGATGAAAGTTTTGCTGTTGGGTTCATAGAGATCGGTCGGCATTAGAAGTAGAAGGGATTCATAAAAGAGCCAATTTCCTAGAAAAAGCAACGGTGTTGTTTTTGATTATATGTGCATGCAATACATTACCTTCATCAAGGAAAAGTTGTGGCTTTTAGTTTTTGGAATACGAGGATCCTTTCAACAGCGGCGTATTGTTCTAGGCAAATTTTTTCGACAGAACTCACAACAAACGACTTTTTAATTATTTTAAAAAATGGGTACGTTAAGCAGCCCAGTTTTCAATGATAGCAGAAAAATTAAGGTTCACACTTATAAAATATTTTGTCGAGAAGAAGAACACGCTGAAAGAAATGACTTATTCAAAACACTAATTCAGAGTGTTTTGAATCCCTTGTTCATGAGCCACTTGCTGATGTCTTCATAGTGAGCGTCCATCCAAGCGATGTTGTTCTTTGTTCTCTCGATACTCTGGTCGACGGTGCGCTTGCCGCTCTTCAGGTTGTCCGAGTTCGCATCTCGGAATCGAACGATCTGCCGGAAAATGGGATTTGGTCACCAAATTACTCCGAAAGCTTAGGACATAAACGATGGATTTCGTTCATTAGTGTTACGATACTCAGGTACATTAATAAGTACATATATAGTCTGCAACCAGAATATTTTCGTAGTTTCACTCGTACTACTATGATGTGGAATACATGAAGGGATGCAAGTAAAAAAATAAGCGGTTTCAACTTCATGCAAAACATATTAAAGGGTTGAAAATTTTGTCATGCCTGAATCAGCCAGATGGAATTACTTATGGTTAAATGCTATCTACTTCCACAGACGTCAGCATCAAACTCTGTTTCAAAACGACTCACGGTTCGGGTTTATATACAGATTATTTAAAAATGCTATAAAATTAGCATAAAAAAGATGAAGATGCTCCATAGATAACGTTGTTCCACAGATAACGTTATCCTACAGATAACGTTGTTCCACAGATAAAATTGTTCCATTTTCCATGTCCTGGGATATCATTTAATTTATCGTGTAAGCCCAAGTCTATAAACAAAATTTAAATTGTACGTTGACTTCGTCTTCCAATCAGCGGAATCATTGAATGAATCTCAGCGTCACGCACCTCCTGCATCATGAGCTCCGAGTTGAACTTGTTGGTCGCGTACTCGACAAGTTGACCGAGCGTGAAGATTCCTGAGCCGAAACTGCAACGGGAGAAAGTGGCTGGTAAAGAGTTGGAAAAGTAAGCGACATCTTCTAGTGACTTATGTAAACAAAGAAAATTATGGAAACATACTGGTATCTAATGATTAATTCTTGATTTTTTTTTTAGTTTCTGCTTTGTTCAGCCTAGATGCAAAAGTCGGGCAACTTTAAAATTAAGCAGATTCTTCCGTTATCAATTTAATTTCTTGGAATCTTCTGCTGCAACAGTCGACTAGGGCTTGTTACTGGTTTTGGTATCAGCCTAAATGCTTCCTATTCACCAAGTACCTTGCAACTAAAACATAATACTACATTATTCTCAAATTTTGAATTTTGAGGTCTACTCTATTTACATCAGTGCTTCCCTCCCACAGCAATAGGAGAACCATAAGCTCTGGCAACTCACTACTCAGTTATGGCCTTCCAATTATTCCGTAAATAATTCCAGGCGACATCCTGTCCGTATTCGTTAGAAGCGACGGACGAGAAAACTCTGGCGATGTCTTGCTTGCGTATATCGCCTCCAGCGACGAACGAGTCTTTCATGTACCTTAAAAAAAATATTAATTATGAATATGACACCAAGAACTAGGCCTAGATCTAGGATGCATTCAAGAACTGTACTCTAGGTAGCTTTCAGATATTTTTATCTAGAAATGCTATGAAGAGCATGCGAAAAGAATCGTGCCTCAATGCCTCATCTTTCATTCTAAAAAAAAAAATAAATGAATTTTTAACCAGAATAATGAACGACAGTTTTTCAAAGAGTTCCCAAGATGCAAACTTTTCATCTAAATATTTAGACCTAGGACTCATTTCAGACTATTATGATCGAACAGACAAGAGATTTTTCGTTTACAGATATACCAACATTTTCAATGTTATTCGTATCGAAAAACATGGCATTGAGAGTTTCTGTCAATATAAGCAAAGGATTATAACAATCAATACAACGTTAAGTGCCATAGTTTTGAAAACGCGCTGAAAACGCATTAGGAGCGTGAAAGCAAAATATTACAAATATCTCACGAACCTTTAATGATTGATTCGAAAAAAAATGCTAGAAACAAACATCAAATTATACCTGAAATTAAAAGGAGGACAAAGGTTCAATAAACCATTCCACATCGTGAACGTACTTTGATAAAATCCAAATTTCCTTTGAGCACCCGAGGCCACGCATCATCGTAGATTTCTCAGAAGCAACGTTCGACTCGAGGTATTGTGACCAGAGGAAACGCCATTCATCCTCACCGCCTTCAGCAATGGCCGTGCAATACACTGCAGACTTCAGGTTCGGCGAAATGATGCTAGAAATAACAAATTATTCCGTTAGTGAACTCACACCCAAAGACTAAAATCTCAGCTTAGTTGCTAGCCTTTATCTCGACTAAGTCACTGTCAGCAATAAGCCTACGCTGCACAACATGCCCCTACAATCAGAGCCCACAGCAAGGCAACAAATAATTTGATGACGCAAGAAAGAAATATTGAAGAAAGAAACGATGGAGGTACACGCACATTATGCAGGGTATAGCTAACTTCTCCGTATTACACGTATAGCTAACTTCTCCTAATTCGCTCTTATCTTCGTTATGCGCCAGGCGCCGCTACAATTGCAAATGACTTCTCGTGGCAACTATTGTGCATATTCCCTTGCCCAGTGCCAGCACTCGCTAAAGTCTTTCCAACTAGCTGCCAGCTCTTTTCCTACATTGAATGCTCTCTGCATTGAATACATCTACACACCTATATATAACAATCCCACATTTACGCCCTAATACTTATACTACATCGGCACACCTATAGACAATCCCACATTTACGCCTTAATACATCTACACGACTATATATCATCATTCATTTACGCTCTAATACATCTACACACCTTATGAAGGAACGCCATTCCGAGATTGAAAAAAATCCAAAACCAGGCCCTAAGATTCAATACAATCACACACTGGTCCGATTTCATACTCTTAAAAATAACACGAAAAACTGCGAAGTGCCTGCTAAAACCATTTATCTCCAACAACAAGCACGATAAACATGGTACACATTTAAACGAACGACCACCATTCAATTATCCCACCCACATTCTCGTCAGACGCCAAAGCAAAGCAACACCCGTTTTTAAGAGCTCCAACACACTCGCACTAGGCACCCATCTACACCTCTGGACACGTAAACACTAACCCCACATACACATTTGATCATTTGCGTTTGATCGTCAGTTATTGAATGATGAGCGTCAGAACGTGCTCAATTAATCAAGTGCAGTGGTTCGATCATCATTGCGGACAGACGAAATTCAGTGAGAGTGCTTACATGACTTATTCAGTTAAGACAAACAGACCTACCGCTAACCCAACAACTACAGTCCCAACCTAACTCACGATTCGCCAAATTCAAAATCTTGATCATCTCCTTTACTGTCATGTCTTATTAGGAAAATTACAAAAAAAATATATGTACTGATATGAATGATGAAACAAAATAATAATGAGGCTAAAACGCATATGGAGTACAAACCCTTTTTATTTTTTTAGCTTGTAAATATTGAAACCCGATTCACCGCTCACTACCACCTCTCGTTTATACCACTCTCCAAACCAAATGCAACTTCAAAACACACCAGAATCCAAATAATTCGGACAGCGTTTTTTTCCGTTTGTTATTGTCTTTTCCGTTTACCTTTGCTCTTTCTGGCCACTATGTGCCAACTCTTGTTTTTCCCTCGCTTTTCTAGGGGCACCGCACACACGCGCCACCCTATGCTCAGTTCAGATCGGCGAGATCAGTAACGTAAAGAAGCTTGACAGTGTGACTCACGGCTATGTTGTGGTGCAGCGCGTTCTGATCTCATTGGATATTTGGTCAACAGTCAGCAGCACACGAAGAATCAACGTTTAGTTGCCAATTTTTTATCATACCCCACCCTATGCAATGGTTTACCGGAGCCACAATGGCGTTCACCTGAATTCCAGAATCTCACCAGGGTTGAAAGAAAATGAAAAGATAAGCAGTACTAATCGGTCATCACAACTAGATGAGATAACGACAGCTCTCACGGAAATACTGTAGTGAAATGTTGAGCCAAAAGCGAAAATCAAACTGTTCCAAGTAGGCAGCGGAAGTGCTTAAAATTTGCAAATTTCTCACCAATAGGCGCTAAAAGAAAGCTCAAATGCTCGCAGAGGATCCTAGAACTACTACAACACCAAATTTTCCAAGTAGTCGCCCAACGGCTCCAGTCGCTCAGTAGCATTTCAAATCTACATCTTTTCAAGTTCAATTAATATACACCATTGCTGTTAAGTTCCAAGTTGAAAGTAAAAATCTCACCTCTTGTCAGCTGGTTGTTCCATCCAACGCTTGAAGAGGCTGACAACTTGGGTGACGCAGTCTTTATAATCAAGAGAACACATCCACGAGATGGCTTGAACACGAATGAGTTGATCCAGGTGAGGATCGTTAAGATTATCAGCAAAGCCAACTTTCTTGTAAAGAGGCTCCAAGAGAGAGATCAGGTAGCGCTGTATCGCGAATGCAGAGTAAAAAAAATAATGGTGGAAACTTTTCATATATTTAGTTGGATAACGCAATCAATTCTCTCCGCACAGACAACTGACATAAAAATAAAGATCAAGTGTTTACCTGAATATGGCAGCCAAGCTACGAGTTAGTCAGGTATTTCGAAGATACAAGAAGAATATCTTACCTTGAATGCACCGTAAGAAGCAGTTCTGCTGAGCATGTTCTTGACGTATCCCAAGTTGTT